TTGTGAAATTATGGAGAATGAAAAGAGTGTTGGAAAACTAGGAAAAGGCAAACGTTGTCTGAATTTTATTCAGTTAAAAGAAAAAACATCAAATGATCTCTGTTTATGAAGTACCACCACTTCACTTTGGTCTCCAAGTTATGAGGGCCATGTAACCGTCACGGGGGGAATATGCCCAGAGCAGAGCCGCGTTCTCATTGGGCAGATCAGCAGAAAGTTCAATCCCTGGCACGAGTTAGTAAGTTCCAGTCACACAAGTGTGGCTTTCTGGGACTGTTTCTACAGTAGCCAATATTTCTTGATTTTTATATTTTATCTGCTTCCTGAATAGTCCTTACTCCAAGTAAATATGTGGCAAGGTCTTTCTTCCAAGTGTGTAGCCTGCAAGGATCAGTTCCATTAATTTTACCGATAAAATAAAATACTGTAAATTATACGTCTCCCTAAAATGTATGTATTTGTATCTTATATGCTTATAAAATTGATAGACAACTTGTGTGAATGAAATAGCCACGTGGCCATGTGCCATGTTCCATTTTCTGTAAAGCCAGGAGAATATTTATTGTGGTTTAGCACTCTTGTATAGAGAGGCCCTGCACACTCATGCCCTAAGAGAGCACCTATCCCCCTGCTGAGTTAAAACCACCCATGGGGACAGGGGAGACAAAAAGTTGCCATGACTAGGACACAAGGCAGGACCTGGGTTATAGAAAAAGATAGCACATTCATTCTGGGATCTGTTAAATGTATAAATCTCTCCCCCAGAGCAGCGATTGCGATCCTTTAAAAGCATTAAATCCTATCGCTCTGTCATTCAAAGCCCTCTGTGTCTCCCTGTTTCTCTCTGAGTTCCTAAACTGTCTATCATCCCCTACAGCCCAGCTTCTCCTGGCTTGTCATCTCTCCGCCTTTATCTCTTCCTGCTCTCCATTCACTCCCTCTGCTCCAGGATGCCAGCCTCCTGGCTGTTTCTAGAACATGCCATGCATGTTCCTTGTGATCTTGTGCTTGCTGTTCCATGAGCCTGAAGTGCTCCTCCCAGAAGGCCTCATGGTTCCTCGCAATTCTATTCAAGCCTTTGTTTCAAGTCACCTCAGAGCAGTCTTCTTAGGCCCTCCTCTATTTATTTTTTTCTGTTTATTATCCTCAAATTTATTTTTTTCACTCTGATATATATTTTTTAATTAATGTATAATGTATTATTGATTTCAGAGGTAGAGGTCAGTGATTCATCAGTCTTATATAACATCCAGTGCTCATTACATCACATGCCCTCCTTAATGTCCATCTCCCAGTTATCCCATCCCTCCACTCTCCTCCCCCCCCCAGCAACCCTTACTTTGTTTCCTATGATTAAGAGTCTCTTATGGTATGTCTCCCTCTCTGATTTCGTCTTGTTCTATTTTTTCCTCTCTTCCCCAATGATCTTCTGTTTTGTTTCTTAAATTCCACATATGAGTGAGATCAGATGATAATTGTGTTTCTCTGATCAACTTATTTCGGTTAGCGTAATACCCTCTAGTTCTATCCACATCATTGCAAATGGCAAGATTTTTTTTTTTTTTTTGATGTCTGAGTGGTAGTCCATTGTATATATATATACCACATCTTTATCCATTCATCTACCGATGGACATCTGGGCTCTTTCCATAGTTTGGCTATCGTGGACATTGCTGCTATAAACATTGGGGTGCAGGTGCCCCTTTGAATCACTATGTTTGTACCTTTGGGGTAAATACCCAGTAGTGCAATTGCTGGGTCATAGGGTAGCTCTATTTTCAACCTTTTGAGGAACCTCCATATTGTTTTCCAGAGTGGCTGCACCAGCTTGCATTCCCACCAACAGTGTGGGAGGGTTCCCCTTTCTCCGCATCCTCGCCAACATCTGTCGTTTCCTGACTTGTTAATTTTAGACATTCTGACTGGTGTGAGGTGGTATCTCACTATGGTTTTGATTTGCATTTCCCTGATGCTGAGCAATGTTGAGCACTTTTTCATGTGTCTGTTGACCATTTGTATGTCTTCTTTGAAGAAATGTCTGTTCATGTCTTCTGACCATTTCTTGATTGGATTATTTGTTCTTTGGGTGTTGAGTTTGATAAGTTCTTTATAGATTTTGGATACTAGCCCTTTATCTGATATGTCATTTGCAAATATCTTCTCCCATTCTGTTGGTTGTCTTTTGGTTTTATTGACTGTTTCCTTTGTTGTGCAAAAGCTTTTTATCTTGATGAAGTCCCAATAGTCCATTTTTGCCCTTGCTTCCCTTGCCTTTGGAGAGGTGTCTAGCAAGAAGTTGCTGCAGCCAAGATCACAGAGGTTGCTGCCTGTGTTCTCCTCTAGGATTTTGATGGATTCCTGTCACACATGTAGGTCTTTCATCCATTTTGAGTCTATTTTTGTGTGTAGTGTAAGGAAATGGCCCAGTTTCATTCTTCTGCATGTGCCTGTCCAATTTTCCCAAGACCCTCCTCTATTTAAACTGCAACCCACACGCACCCACCCAGACCAAGCAGCACTCCCTCAGCCCTTCCCTTCCCTGTTTTATTTTACCCCACAGCACCTATATCACATCTCTATAGGCAATTTATTTGTTGATTTTGTCTGTTGTCTGTCTCTCCCCAGTAGAATCTTAAGCCCTATGAGAGCAGTTGTGCCTTGTCTGTTTTGTTCACTACTATATTCCCAGGATCTTGAACAGAATTTTAAATTAAATTAAATTAAAATTTTTTGAGTATAGTTGACACATAATGTTAAATTAGTTTCAGGTGTATGACCTAGTGATTCAACATCTCTATACCTTATGCTGTGCTCACTACAAGTGTAGCTACCATCTGTCACCATACAACACTATTTCAGAACAATTGACTATATTCCCTGTACCGTACCTTTTATTCTCATGACTTGTTCATTCCATAACTAGAAGCCTTTATCTCCCACTCCCCTTCACTATTTTGCCCATCCCCCCACACCCCTCTCTCCTGGCAACTATCAGTTTGTTCTCTGTTTTATAAGTCTGATTCTGCTTTTTGTTTGTTTATTCATTTGTTTTGTCTTCTAGATTCCACATATAAGTGAAATCATATGGTATTTTCCTTTCTCAGTCTGACTTATTTCACTTAGCATAATACTCTCTACGTCCATCCACGTTGTTGCAAATGGTAAGATCTCATCTTTTTTTTTTAAGGTTGAGTAATATTCCTCAGAAACATTTTTGAGGAATAAATGAATAATTATCCAGCTGATTTGTAGCCTAAAAAAGAAATTAGAACCAGAGGTGTAGATTTAGTTGTATGGACAAGAATTAAAGAGGTGATGGTACTTATAAAGGGAGTCAGAGGACTTCTAAGTTCCTCACGGTGCTAAGATTTTTACCTAAGTAATACACACACACACACACACACACACACACACAAGCTCCATGTAGAATGATATATAGCCAATTATTTTCCTCAAAACAGTCATCTTAGAAGACACTTGAAAAACATGTTTTGTGGATAAATGTGTTTGGGAAATGCTGTGTAATCTCACCTTCTTGGATATTCACAGTAAACATCAATGTATTGAAGGATCTGAAAAATCTTGCATTAGTCAGGATTCTCCAGAGAAACAGAATCCTGACTAATACAGATTTAGGTACCAAGACTGGTTCCAGAGGAACAGAATCTTAAGGAGTTTTCTGAATTGGTTCTCGGTTTTCTGGAATTAGATCTCTAATTTGATTAGATTTAAAGATGCTTATCAACCTCTTCCCAGTAATAAATAAAGCACTGATAATGCATGTTGTGATGTGGCAATAGAGATATGAAAAAACCTTGGATATCCCTGATCAAATACTTAGAAGAGACAGGTTTCTGGATAACCATATATGAGATTCCTTTGAGCATTTTTGTCAAACTAACAAGTATAATGAGATTGGCTGGTTGCTCCTAATGTTGCTGGAAAAAGTGGGGAAAGAAAAAGATGAGCTGAGGGATTAAAATATCCAGCTCAAGAAACCACATAATGACCTGCAAGCTTCTATGTCTGCTCTGAAAGAGACTTATTTCCTATAGCTGTGGAGCTGAGATTCCTGAAAACCAAGCCCAGAATCTCATCATGCTAGTGGCTGAATTACAGTTTGAACTCCCAACATTGCAGGGTGTCTACTATTAAAGTGAGGGCCTTGATTGGGAAGGAATGGGATCCTGGAAATTGGAATGGGGACATATGGGAAGGTCCTGATGAAGCTGGGGACACAGAACCCCTAAATTCTGATGAGTTTTCTTTGCCAGTAGAAGCAGCCTCTTGACCTTGTCATTACAAAATACTATAAACTAGGCATCTTAAAAAGCAGAAATTTGTTTTCTCACAGTTCTGAAGGTTAGAAGTCCAAGATCAAAGCGTCAGCATGTTTGGTTTCTTCTGAGGCCTCTCTCCTTGGTTTGGAGAGATGGCCACCTTCTTGCTGCTTCTCACATGGTCTTTCCTCTGTACTCATCAGATTAGATTAGTTCCCATTCTAACACCCTCTTCTTAACTTGATCAGTGCTTTAAATGCCCTATCTCCAAACAGAGTCACATTCTAAGGTACTGAGGGTTAGGGCTTCAACATATGCATGAGAGGGAGGCACAATTTAGTCCATAACACTGCAATTTTTTTTAAGATTTTTTAAAATTTATTTGAGAGAGAGAGAGAGGGAGAAGCAGACTCCCCACTGAGCAGAAAGCCCAACATGGAGCTTGATCCTAGCACCCTGAAATCATGACCTGAGCCAAAGTCAGACCCTTCACCAAATGAGCCACCCAAGTGCCCCTATAACACTGCAATTTTTTAAAAGTTTAATTTGTTAAAACTCTATGCTTTCTAAGAGCATTTGACTATAGTACTCTTAATACACGTGTTCAATTACATATCAAAAAATAATGTTCCTCACTTTGGATATACACTAACACTGATCCAGATTTATATAACAATATCAATACTACTACTACTTAAACAATAAAAGCATAATACAATATAGAATTTATATAATGTCTTTTATGTATGTTTAATATTTATATAGTAACATTAACAATAATATTCTTAATAATAGAAGATCGTTACATAGTAATTGACAGAGTACTTTTATCCATGTGATTTCATTTGATTAGGTATACAGGGCAGATATTATTATCTTTACTTAATGAAACGCAAAAGACCTCATAAAGCCTAGAATGGTTAAGACTTACCAAGGTCATACAGGTAGTAAATAGCTTCTCACATTATTGATTTCTTTACTTTGTAATACAGTTTTCAAATACTATATAATACCCATCGTACCTTAACAATATACCATAGCTTCCACTTCAGATCAAGATGTATTTGAACAGGGATGGAACCATATTAGTTAAGAGCACTTGCTTTGGAGCCAGTCACCCTGGTTTCAAATCTGCCTTCACACTCATTGGGCCAGGTCATCATGGAAAAGTAATTTAACGCCTCTACCCCTCAGGTATGAGATTGATAACAATATTTATCTAAGGGAATTATTTAAAAGGATTAGTTAGTTCATGAGAAGTACTTCAAACATTACCTAGCACATACTAAATCCTTGATAAATGTTAGCTATTACTATCGAGATAAAAGCTACTAGCTTTAATAGCAAAATAATACCTATAACATGGATATAATATAATCAAATCAATCATTTCCTACTAAGTCCATTTTTGTCATCTGTTTTGCTTCTGAAAAACAAAACAAAAAAATGAACAATATTTGAAGATTAAAAGAATCCTGAGTGCTATGTTGAAACAAAGTGAATGAAGAACTCCCAAATACCTCCTAGCCCTGAGCAGACTTCAGCAGGGATTGTGGTGGCCCGATGGTCCTTCTGAGGTCAGCAGACTTGGTGTGGAAGTCTCTTAAGAACACACTATCTCATGGGACTTTGAGTATTTCCTCCCTGTGATCAGCAACATCTTTTCTTGCAGTATTTTGGCAGGTTTGTCCTTGTTCCCGGCCAGATTCAGGAAGTTCAGAAGCACATGAAAACAAACAATTGATTAAAACACTTCTCTCAAATTATTCAATGTTCAAAAAAACAAGAAATTATTCAGCAATATTGGGACTTGGCCAGTATTTTATCTTATTAATTATATTTATTCATTCTCAATTGATAGGCCCATCGTTTTATTCCCAACAAATGCTTTTCTTGGCAGTGATTTTCATTAAACTTTTTTCTTGAAGTATATTTAAGTATAGGAAGTGATTAGACAGGGTATCAACGTATTTTGCAAAAATTTACAGGCATTTTCATGACTTGGACTGTTTTGTCCTTTGTGCAATTTTCAAATTATGCTTTGTTATTAAGATCATTCTTAGTGATCATTATTGTTCTTAAGATCATCATGATTTTTTCCCTAAAAATCCCATCCCTTGATTTCAATGATCATAGTTGGATGAATTGCAAGCCAACAATATAACATGCTACTTTTCCAAATTTTGCTTATCATTTAAGATCCATCTAAATATCTGCTCCTTAATAAAAAAAAAAAAAAAAACCTTCACAATTTCCCAACTCCGTGTGATATCCAAACTAATTGGCTTCTATTTCTCAATATACTCACTTGACTAAATTCAATGGACTTTTGCCAATCATCATTTCACTTACCCTTTCAGCAAGATTTATCTGAAAACCACTCCCTCCATCTCGAATTACTATCTTCCATGACACAACAAGCTTCTCGATTTCCTCTTACCTCCATGGCTTCCCCTTCTCCCTCAGAGACTCCTCTTCTAACAAGACATTAAATGTTATAGTTGCTCAAGGCTGGGTGAGAGGTTCTATTCACTTCTCACTTCCCTTCCTGGGCAACTTCATACCTGCCCATAGTTTTATCTGACTTACAAATTTATATCTCCATTCCAGACATTCCCTCTTGGTGTCAGACCCACGTGTCTAGCTGCCTACTTGACATTTTTGCTTTGAAATCTCAGGAACACTTACACTCGGTGTGACCAAAGTTGAGCACATGAACTTCTCCTCCCAAATCTGGTCCTTCTGGAATTTCCTTTTTCTGTGATAAGCATAGTCATCCAGTTATGCAAGCCTGAAATCTAGGAATTATCCTTGCTATTTCCCTCTCCCTCGGCCCTTATATGCTATTCCTCACCATGTGTCAATTCTACCTACTAAATATCTCTAAAATCTGTTCACCTCTCTACTCCAAGCTACCATCTTTTCTCACCTAGACTATTACAATGATCTCTAACTTGCCATTCTTGCCCTTCCCAATCCATTCTGCATACTGTACCCACAGTTGTTTTTTTCAATATGCAAATCTGATAACATCATCGTCCCCTTAAACTCATCCATAGCTTCCTAATTCTCTTGGAATAAAGTCAAACTCCTCAGCCTCCTTTGTCCTACAAAGTCCTGACACCTATCCAACCTCATTTTACACCGTACCCCATCACATCCCATCACACACTTTGGTCTTTTTGCTGTGATGCACTTGGTCTTGTTAGGGTACCTCAGATACGTCATCCTCCTGCCATAAGACCTTCAGAAATGCATTTCCACCTGCCTGGATTGCTGCACTCAGGGTGATCATGTAAGATTCAACCAGAATACTTTTGAGTATGAAAGGGGCACTATTACTAATTAGACCAGGCAAAACCAAAGGCGGAAACTAAGCTTTTCCAGGGAAAATTGGGATATATGTTTACCTGAAATTAACTCGCATTCTTTCAACAGATTTCAGATTGAATGTCACCTCCTCAGGGAAGCTCAAAACAACCTCCCTGGCAAGGTGAAGTCCATTATAAGTTTAACACAATATATGCCTCTTTTGTTCCACTCTCCAAAGTTACACATTATTGTTCTTTGATACTAAACTCATGGAGTTTAGTAGACTAAACTCCATGAGACCAAGACTATTCCCAAGGTTCTTCACTATTGTATTATCTGCCAAAACTACCATGTGTCATAAATACCATGTATATCATTTCTCAAATGAAGAACATAAAATAATGCCTCTTTGAGAATTTCCTTTTTTCTGTAATTGGCACAACCAATCATCCAGTGATGCAAAGCAGAAATCTAGGAACTATCTTTGACACCTTCCTCTCCCTCAGCCCCAGGGTTCAATTCCTCCTTATGTCCAGGTTCTCTGTAGCCTCCTCTCTCTCCTCTTTGTCCTCTGCCTCTCTTTCTCCTCCCCACCTCTCCTGCTGTGTGTGTAGACATATATATTTTTTTTTCCAGAAATCTATCACACTCATCAGATACAAAGAACATCCCTTCCTATAACAAGTGGTTTCTGAAACTAGCGCTATTCATTTAAGTCTCTTGTCTGTAAGAAACGTGCTTACTGAAGACCTGGTATAAGAGTCTAAATCACTCTTTCAACCATAGTTCTAAAATGTGAAGGGCCTTTCAATGTAAAAATTATATTTAAGTACATTCATCATAATGAGAACTGAGTAATGTATAAAATTGTTGAATCACTATATTGTACACATGAAACTAATATAAAGCTGTGTGTTAACTATACTGAAATTAAATTTTTTTAATTTAAAAATGATATTTAATTTAAAAATTGAACATTAAATAATTACCTTTCAATTTTACCAACTGAAACATTTTATAGGATTACTAGGGAGCCATTCGATGCACAGAAATTTTTAAGTTACTTATCCATACAAAATCACAAAGCCTACAATGCTTCTGAAAGAGGGATCCAAACCCAAATATTCCAGTACCATTAAACATTAGACTTCTTCTAGCATATACCATATTTGCTCATTTCTGTGACTCTCTTCTAAATGATTAACTACCTGAGTGCCAAGATGACATCCTATGGACCTTTGTATTTCCCTTTTCCACACCTACTTTCTAACACTTTGTATAATGTTGTGAATGAGCATTTGTTGAAATGAACTGAATTAATCTAGGGTTTTATCAGAGACTTCCTTAGAATTGGCCCCTTTGCTGACTCACTTACTCAAAAGTTCTACTGACCTGCAAGATGCCTAGATCTCAAGTGGGGTCCAGACTCCCTGTGGTCTAACCTGCACCAGTGGGAACTCATCGGTTCCCATGTCATGAACCACAGCATTCCTATCATACTGGGCTTGCAATGCTCCCATGAAAAAGCACCAGGATAAACATTTGTCTTTCCTCGGGACATAGCTTTGGTACTTGCTTTTATGACCCTAAACTACCCAGCAGACAGAGGAGAAACAGCCTGGGAGATCAAAGGAAACCATGAATAATGTCATGGGTGATCGCACTGGTCACTGCTGTAGAGAATGGCGATAGTGGCCCCGTGTAGCAGTGGTTAGAGACCAAGTGCTCCCAAGGCCACTTGGCTTCTAATCCCAACTCAGTCACTTGCAGGCAAGCTCTTTGCATTCCTCGGTACAAGGGGGATGATACACACATCTCCTTCAGGCGGACTGTCATAAGGACTAGCCAAGCTCATACATGTACAGTCTTTAAAACAGTTCCTGACTTAGAAATCCTCCTAAATAATACCAACTATCACGGGAGGGGGAGATGAGGGGCCAGGCAGGAACCCCAGAAGAACAGTAAGTAAGTAGGAATAATAGCTACTATTTTTGAATGCCTACCATGTGCCAGGCATCATGAAGGGGCGTGGGGGTGAGCAGGCACAGATCTATCTACATCTACATCCATACTATAACATTTACTTAAAAACAACAAACTTTGCTTTGAAGAGATTCTAGAATTAAAAAGCATTATCCCAGAAATAAGTGAATAACGTGCAAGCTTACACCGTGTTTTCATTACTTAAGGCAGACCCAGATAACATATTCCCTAAAATGACTCAGCACATTATTTCCCTCATTCTTAAATCTTTCTAGGAAGACACTTTCTTTGTGTTCTTTTAAGTTCTTTTACGGTTTCTTAGAATTCTCTTCAGGCATTTCTGCGGCTTCGTGTTCAATACCTTTTTTATTAGACTCCTGTGTTCCTGGTGATTGTTACTTTTTTTCCCTCAACTTTTTTTTTTCTCATTTTCCCTCTGTACAACCATCAAGCTGAAGAATGTCTAGTCTGAGTTGAAACCTACCTCACCTGCTTTAGAAAATAGAGGCACTGTTATTTATATATTCACCTTTGTAACATTCAGGTCCCAAAATGCACCTTCGTCATTAAGTGTTAATTCTAAGCTAAAATTGCAAGGTGGTATATACACAATTGTTTGGGCACTCTGACTTGGTGAAATTTCTCTTTCCTCTGATTTTGATATAAAGATCAAGGTTTCTAAAAAGAAAAGAAAGCACTTTGTTTCACATGCAACTGAAGCTGTATTTTGTTCCCTTTGCCAAAAGTGTGGTTTTGAACACCCAACTCCTGGTCTGTCTCTTTCCTATACACAAAGCCCTCTCAGCGACGGCCCGGGGATGCACAATTAGTGCAACGGATCAATAGAAGGAAGCCACCTACTCAGCCAGTTCAACACATAGTCCTTGGCGACCAGACAGGCGCAGCCTCACTCAAAACACTAACGCAGAAGATTGAAGCCCCAAATGGGAAGTCGGGTCTAATCAACCATCTTGGATCTCAGGCGAGCTCACAGCACTCAGAACAGTCATCTCGGCCTGAGTTATCCAAACTGGCTGCCTGTACCGTGCCATAAATCTGCAGAGCGATCGAATTGCACAACCCTCCTCCTCTTTGTTTGGCTAGATAAACATCTCAGGAGAAATAATTCACTTTGCTAATTGAGAGTGGTCATCTAAAGTATTCGAAGCCGCCAGCTGATGAAAGCTCCTGGCTGCGATCCGGGGGTCTGGGTTCTCTCTGCCTCCATTTTGCAAGTTTACAGCAGGGCCGGGCGTTAGTACTGTCTAAGGACGCTCAGAGGAATACCCTTTGCAAGAGCCTCTCCTCTCCCGCCGGATCCGGGCTGCTCCACGGTGGCGTCCTTCTGCCGCGACCACCAGCTCATCCTCGCTGCTCGGAGCGACAGCGCTGCCAGGACTCTGCCCCCGTGTTTCCCGCAGCCCTTAGCAGCACCTTCCTCGTGGTCTCAGATGCAGCGGGAGCACAGGAGGCTCGGCGGCTCCGTTCCTCTCCTGCGCCCTTCCCCCAGCCTGACGTGACCTTGACCCCACAACGGGGGCCAGACTCTGGTTCTCATGCTGCGGCCCGGCTTGCAGCCGCCGTAAGTCGCCGTCGCTGCCGGAGGCTCCACCACGTTTGCCAATTACGTAAGCGGCCGCAGAGCGCCCGGCGGCTCCCCAGCGCGAGCTTGAATGAAGCCGAGACAGCCCGAGAGGCCCAGCGGGCGCGAGGGCCATCCGGGAACCACGTCCCCTGCGACGGCGAGTGCCCGTCTCCGGGTCTTGGCTCCCCCGGCCGCTCGGCTCCGCTCTGCGCCCGCGTTCGCAGCCTGAAATACCCGAGGACGACCTGCTATGTTTTCGGCCTGAAGGGGCAAAAGAGAAGCAGCCCTTTCAAAGTAAGCATTCCCCTGCTGTTGGTTTCATTCTGGAACACAATGCGGACAGGCTGAGGACACGACTCTGAGCTGTCAACACTTCCGACCCAGCTTCCATAGCACCTTTCACTTGCCAGAGAAAAAGTTGCTTAAGTCAAACAAGGGCCTAATGAATAGTCAAAATAATTGTTTAGCTTGGATATAAGGCCTTAGGTAAATAGATGATGGCGTGGGACCAGAGGCCAGAAAAAGCAGTCCAGCAGGACTCCACTTGTTCTGTTTCTCGGACATCAGCCCGGCGGCCTCTGCTTCTCCAGGGATGGGTGTTCCTGAAGTAGCTCTCTCTTCCCTGGAGCATATTGAAGCAATTTAGTATCAGAAGGGGCGCATAAAAGCAGGGAGAAAGGGAGAGAACTTTCTACATTAGAAATATATACTTAAGACATGAAGTTCACCTCAGCAGAGCCTCCAATAAATAGAATGTTCAAGATACAGAATGTTTGGCTTGTTTGTATTTAACTGTTCATGTGGAAAAATTTCTAAAATGCTTTGTTAGCCCACTTAGGATTGTCCTGCCTCCTGTCTTACTAGTATTTTTCCTTTTCCTGTACCGTGCCATAATTGGTGAAAGGATGAAAGGATTTCATCCTTTTTAAACACTATTATTTACTACACCTAAAGACCATCATTAGGTTTATGAGTAATCCCCTTCCAAGACCGTAATTGTAGTTATAGACAGAACAAGCATTGAAAAGGAACCTTTCAGGTATGGGTTTTGTAGGTGGTTGTTGTTGCTGTTGATTTGCTTTGTTCTGTTTGTTTATTTAGGTGTCCTTGCTATCAACTTGCTTCACTGTTTCTTTTTCCCCAAAACGGTGTTACATCATGAAAATTCTACTTAATTAAGAACTTGATTAAATTAGTTGCTAGGTAATTTCAGTTCTACTGAATAATATTTTTAATAATTGCCTTCCATCTCTTACTTGAAAATAATAGATGCCTTGTTGATCCAGAACAGGATTCGGTTGTCTTACTCGTTCAGCCCATTTCCGCTGGACTGCTATTCAAATAAACAACATCTATCTGATTGAATCTCGAATTCATCAAGGGGGTGGATTCCCCTGGCATTCAGGTTCCAGGAATCATGATGAATATATCTTTGGTTTATTGGCAAATAGCAATCAGAGCATACCTTGGGCAATAAAAAGTGAATGCTTAACTATTTGTACAATTTCTTACCCTGATAATACAGGAGAGGGGTTAAGTACATGGGGTTTAAGAGCCAATTTTGAATTTGAGCACAAGCTCCACACTTATTAGTTCTGTGAGCTCAAATTATTAAATTTCCACAGGCTTCACTTTCCTCATCTGCAAAATGGTCTCATAATAACACCTACTTCGCTGGGTTTTTGGGCAGATGATATTCAATAAGGCGTGTAAAATGCTTGGTCCAGTGTAAGGATTCAATAACTGTTACCCATCACGCTATTTTCATGCACATTACAGTTTCCTCACAACAACCCTATGAGGTAGGCAAAGCTGCCGTAATTATGCTAATTACTTTAAATATTAGAAAACTGGACCTCCAAGTGGTTATTGATTTGCCCACAACCACCCACGATGGTGAAATATTGATCCTCTCAGTAACAGGAGTCTCTGAATTACTCACGCATTGCCTTCCCTTCACCCATTCTGCCATGTGGTGTTATCTCCTCGACGTTTCCCTAAACCTAAAGCCTTACAAGATAATGGGCATCCTCTGCCTTAGACTGTCAGAGGCTTTAAAACCTCTATGGATACTATACAGATTTTCTGGGAAAATGGTACCGTCTGAACTGCAAAGTCAAGAGGAATGCTTTGCTAATACTGAGGGGAAAAAAATACAAGTGGACAAGTGATTTCCAGTTGGTGAACCTAAAACCCTTCAGAGAAGCCTACAGGGATGACACAACAGGTCAACAAACCTAAAGCCTAGCCAGCTTTGTAGACCAAAGAAATACAGTCTCAGCCATGCGGAAGTTTTGAAGTATATGTCTATCTTCTAAAACTAAAATATAAATCATTTAGGCAGTGCTGAATGTATTATATCATTTTGACATGCCGTATTTTCTCAGTGGCTGCTAAATTTCACCTTCTATCATGTGGCGGTCTGTGATTTTTTTTTTTTAAACCAAGTGTGCACACTCCTTAAAGTTAGTAACCAATGGTGTTGAGGACAGAGCTCTGCCATGAAGTTCAGTAACCTAGATTTAAGAACCAGCCCTGCTATTTCTAAGCTTAAAGGACCATAAACTTAGGCAGTGCCTTAAAATCAATAGCTGTCTACTGAGTGCCTTTAAAGATTTATTTACTTATTCCGGGGGTGGGGGGCAAGGGAGAGAGGGGCAAAGGGAGAGAATCATCAAGCAGACTCCCCGCTGAGTGGGGAGCCCACTCAGGGCCAATCCCACAACCCATGAGATCATGACCTGAACTGAAACCAAGAGTTGGATGCTTAACCGACTGAGCCATCCAGGTGCCTCTACTGAGCGCCTTTAAAGGGCCTGAGCCCTTGGGGCACCTGGGTGGCTCAGTCGTTAAGCGTCTGCCTTCAGCTCAGGTCATGATCCCAGGGTCCTGGGATCGAGCCCCACATGGGGCTCCATGCTCCGCAGGAGGCCTGCTTCTCCCTCTCTCACTCCCACTGCTTGTGTTCCCTCTCTCACTGTGTCTGTCTCTGGCAAATAAATAAATAAAATCTTAAAAAAAAATAAAAATAAAAAAATAAAGAGCCTGAGCCCTGAGCTGGGAATGGGTAGGTGAACAGCAGTCTTTGCTTTCTTCCCTGAGCCTCCTTTTTCTCACTTATAAAGTAAGGAGAATAATAGTGACTCTCTTCACAAGACTATTGTGAGGATCCAATGAGATAAACAAGAAAATAAATATACTGTGATGTTTGTGAAAGTGCTTTGTAAACTTTCTGGAGTGTTATAAACATGGGGTGTTCAAGACAAGCTGCTGAAGACAGGAAAACCCTCTAACTCTCCCCAGTGGCTTTCCTGTAGCTGCTGGCCATCCACCCCAGGAACTTGCCAAATGCTAACAGCATTCCTTTCTTTGATGTCAGATGATATTCATATTTATAAAAGTACTTTTCCATCTTTTCCTCCTCCTCCCACTTTGCTTTATTCCATAAATTATAACATTCCTTAATATCAGTATGACACTATAATATCAGATTATACAAAGCATTAAATAAGGTACTAATATAAAATTCAAAGCACAGAATAGTCCAGAGGCTCACAGCTTGCAGTTCGTAACCCCCTAATACACACAACATTCATCTGGAAGGGATATTTTAAACATTGCCAGCGGTGCGGGTGATGGCTGAAGGGGATCTCACCCAGGCCTGGTTAACTCCAGGAAGTAGGAATGGAGGAGAGAAGACTGTTGCTCCTCTCTCCTCATAGGCTAAGGCCCCGCTGCCACCTCATGTCTGGGAAAGAGTAGTTTATGGGAGCAGACACATTACTCATGGAACTGAAACCTTCCCTGATTCAGTTCTTCCAGAAATATAGTAGATCTCATGTATCTTTACCTCTCCTCTAATTCCATGCTTTATGTACTAATTGGCGAATTTTGTCTTTATATTTACTCGTGTCAACAGAAGACGTTCACTTAGAGTCTGTTATGTGCCATACAATACACAAAACACTATGGAAAAATGCCAAACACATAATATGCATGATCCTTGCTTTGCAGGAGTTGAGAAATAAGTACACCCAACACTTATTGCAAGGCAGCTAGTGTTATTTTAGATTCTCCAACCAATGACACTTTGAAGGGAGACAGCTGAGGCTAAGAGAAATAAATTTCCCAAGATCGTACAGGTAGCAAGTGTCTGAGCCAAAATTGGCCACAGTCTGTTCCATTCTAAAATCTGTGCTCTTTCCATTCTGCATTACCTCCCTTAATCGGGAAAGCGGAAGACACATCACAAAGGAAAGTGAACACAGACATTAAAGGAAACCTACAAAAAAACAAGTTCTACAAACCCTAGCGACTATGTTATGTACAATGGTGGTGAAGTGTCCGAAGTACCTGGAGCTAGGCGGGCCTTCACTGAGCAGGTTCTAAAGCAGATCAGTGATACAGCCTGGGGAACAGGATGGTGGACACCAGTCAGAAGGCAACTGTGCTGGAACCAAGAGAAATAACACTGGGCAATTAAACATGCTAATAAGAATAAAAGCTATAATCCCAGAACACCATTCGTCCTCCCAGATTCAGATGCCTCATCTTTGTGGCTCTCAGACTATGGACATTTTGTAAATTACTAAAATTTTCACAGATCCATCTTCCAGGCAGATCTTAAAGGTAGCAGAGTGCTGCTTCGCTCATTAGAGTATTGCCAAGTTCATTACACTCAGCATTCATTAAATATCCCTTCTCAAGTAGCTCTCTCTTATGCAAGGTGAATGGAAATCATTTTCCTCCTGACATTTGGTGTTGGTTCCAATGACATAAGTGGGTAGGAGCATTTGCAGAGGAAAAGTGAATACACTTGGCAACATTTTCAAACATGTGTTTGGATTTTCTGTTTTTTAGGAGATGTACGACTAAGGGGTCAGACAGGGGTTCCTGCTGAACGCCGTGGCTCCTACCCATTCATTGACTTCCGCCTACTTAACAGTGAGTAATCAAGTGTACCTGGAAGGGAACAAATGTTTAAAAAAAAAAAAAAAAAACTGACTTCCCTCTGAACTTCAAAACCCTCGGAGGTCTGCCTTCCTTCCTCCATGTCTCCCCTCCCAAATGGAACTTAACCCTTTGTCTTTAAGTAAAGTAATTCTGGCACTGCCTACCTGCCAGAGCTTTAGTGAGGATCAAATGAGATCAGGTCAGCTTTAAAAATGTAAGTCTCATGTTAACTAAGTAGAATTTAAATAAAAATTTGAGAAGAAAAAAATAAACTTCAATAAAGTGGGAAAAAATTAAAATTAAAAGTTAAAATAAAAATGTAAGTCTTAAAAACTGTGAAGCCCTATACAAGGAAGCTTATTCCTTTCATTATCCAGCACATTCTTTCCACTGTCATCCAGGACTAGACCAGATGAGATTCTATTTTATTGTTAAAACCTATTCTGCAGCTGCCCCTAGTAACTTGTCTGTTGTCTCATTCTCACTTCCTTATCTAATTGAGGTCCCTGAGGTCCATTCTTACATTTCTGATAAAACTCTTCACTGTGGCAGAGCCCTAGAGGTCTGGACTTGCTGCTTCCTCCTTAATTTCTACCTTTCCCCTTCATATACGACTCCTTATTTGGAGTTTGGCTCAACCTCCAGTTCATAATTCTGTTAATCTCAAATTCCTTTGGAAACCCAAACCAGTGACCAGTCACCCTGCCTGATTTCATGTCTTCTCACGATTGCAATCATCTTGCACGTCGGACTTGGAGGGGCCGGTGGAGGGAGAAAGCAGATAAATTTCACAGTTTGCTCCAAGGTTTTCAGTGTTTGCTTCTCCTGTCACTTCCCATCCATAAATTTCAAAGTTCTGGGTTGCACCCACATAGTATTACTTTCCTTTGGAATAAACACGTTCAGTGAAAGAGGTAATTTGATTTACCTTGACCCCTAAAAATTACTAAGAGAAGTCAAAACTTGCTATCTTTAGATCCTCAAAAAGGTCATAGGGAGTGGAGATGCTTATAATCTCCTAGCTCATTAAACTTCCCTATCAATGTGCAATATCTGTTTTCTCAGCTCTTTCTGGGACACAGAGATTTGGAGTAACCTTTCCATACTAGAGATAACCTCCCCAACCCAGCCCCCAAAAATACGTTCTAGAAGACACAATTGATTTGCCAAGCCAGTGCACTATTGGATATATTGGGGGATATAGTGAGCTCTGATGGTGTCTCTTACCTTTCCATATGACCTCCACTAGGCTGTTCCAGGTACCCATGGAGGTTAACCCTTTGACAGTCTTCAAGACTGTACTGATTTCCAGTTGCCAGGCATATGGTTCCACCAAGCAAGATGGGGATGAGCAAAGAAGGGGCAGTTAGTTCACTGTCTCATAGAGACCAGGATTCTCCAATGGCTTCACCTACTAAGTGTGAGATGGAGAAAATAACCCCAAAAGCCTCTTTCAATATTAGATGAGATGTTATATCATTGTTTCTAATATAAGGCATGAATGAATTAGGAAAATAGGAGATACTTCTCTTTATAATTTCAAGGTCCCAAATGATATAATCTGTTTCTAAATTATCCTACTGTTAATAAGCAACATCAGCTAATAGTAGTTATCTTTGTAAGTGGGGTTATAGAATATTTCACTGTCTACATCATAGGTTTCTGTAACACTTGGATTTTGGGTTTTTTACAATTAGTTTGTTTTACTTTTATAACATTAAAAAAAACTGAAAAAATATAAAAAATTTAAACAGAAAACCAATGCAGATAATATTTCACTATATTATTCACTATATAACAAACCACTTACAAGCAGGTGCCATCCTGTTACCTCTCTTCTGTAGGTCCTCCAGAAACTTCCTAGTGCCTGGACTCACCCCCAGTCTCCTTCCCCTGGTATGAGATGCTATCTGTCCCTCCATTCCCATTTCACCCCATCTGTTGCTCATGACCGTCCACACATTAAGTGTCGGTGTTGGCCATCCATTCTGAAATTCCCTTTCTCCTCTGCTCAGCACTCCACTCTAGATAACTCCTTCACTTATGTCTCTTTATCAGTAAAGCATGCTAAGACAATATCAATTTACCTTCATTGTACTTTTGCTTTATGGTGGACTCAGGTTTTTTCCTAGATGTATAAAACACATCCCTAAATAGACTACGAGATCCCAAAGAACTGACCTCTCACTAACTTTTGTTAACTTACCAATTAGATCAAAAGATCCCCTCAAAAAGAGTATATTAAATAATTATAAACGTCAGTCATCCCCTACATTTTGCTTAACAGCTCAAATAAGACTGAAGCCCTCTGAGGTTTTTCCTTATTTGTGGTACTATCCATTCCATTGTCAAACGCCTGCTATACCTGGTTAGAGAGTTGAGAATAGAATCCACAACACGACTGTGGTCACTCTTCACCATTTCTAGATTAGCCTGCAATTACAGCAGCTTGTCACCAGGTAGCAGCAGGTATGTGGCTGTCTGTGTTGCTTACAGTCACTTAAGATGTCATATTTGTGTCACAGCTCCTACTACTTTATATAGAGCCTATTTAATTCTCTTTAATGTCACTCATGTTCTTGTTGAGGTTTGCCTGCCTGAGTTGTGAGTATCTGCTTTCTGCCTAAAAGGAAACATTTTAAATATAATTCTATAAAGATTTTAAGATAAACTCCAAAGGGACATTCTGGGACTTTCTCCTAAAACTTTTATTTTACCAGCTGATTCCAATTCTACACAGTAAGTACCGGACTCATTTAAAGTGATTTTTTGTATCATTTATCTTCATTTTGGGTCATTTTTTTCCAAGTATAAGCAGAGACCGAAGACTTCATTTTCCTCAGGTGCTTGCAGTTTTGCTTTCTCTGCCAAGGTAGAATCCAGGTAGGACTTTTTTTAAAAGACCATTTATAGGAAAACCCAAATCACCAGAGCCTCTCTCCCCTGTGTCTGCATCCCGGAAGCCTTTCTTCTAAAATGCTTAGTGAAATCCACATGGCAGCCACTCCCTGTCAAAAGTATGGCTGGAGGTTTACCTTCAACCCCCCACTTCAACATATGTCTTGAATGGCTGGAACATGTGTAACAAAAATGTACATTAAATAGTAAGGCCCAATGCATTTCTCCACTGGCCCTGTTAGCTACTGCCCCAACCTACCATGTGGAGCAAGAAGATGTCAGAATTATTATCCAAAACAACTTTCTCTCAGAACAAAGTTTCTAGACATTAAAACTGATAACTAGAATGAGATTGGGCCAATGACAACCAAGGCAGTAAATCTGTACTCCTGCCCATGCTTGTCTCATAAATAAGATTTTATTGGCAAACAGCCATGTCCTTCATTTACAGCTACTTTCCAACAGAGACCATATGGCCCACAAAGCCAAAAATATTTACTGTATTGCCCTTAACAGAAAAGAGTGACTAACCCTTAAGTTAGATTTTTAAACAAAGTTAAAAGTTTATGACATCTCCATAGGTACATTCAGCCTGGCCTATTTTCCTTTGTTAAAGTCATTTAATCCCCAGTGCCATCACTTTACTTTGAAGAATGGACTCACACTGACTTAATTTACATGAGATAAAAGTATAAACAGAAAGGGAACTTCCTTGCTGATCCAGATTTTAAATTCCACAATTATAATTTCTAACTGCACAGACGTTGTTCTGGAAGAGGTATCCCTTTCCCCTATTTTTTGAAGACACGGTACTACCATGCCTATGTACTTGTCTACATATAAGGTGATGATATATACCTGGTTTACCTGGCATAGTCAAATTTGCACCTGTTGTCTAGGCAAACTTATTAATGCTGTTTTTCACTCCCTAAGTATTCTGGTTTAGACAATAATTACAAGGCCAATGGATTTTTATACTTTTTCCTACCAAAAAAAGTTACTTCAAGACAACACCTCTTAAATGTCACTTTCTTTTTTTTTTTAAAGATTTTATTTATTCATTTGAGACACAGAGATACGGAGAGAGAGAGAGCATGAGCAGTGGGAGAGGCAGAGGGAGATGGAGAAGCAGACTCCCCACCGAGCCAGGAGCCCAATGTGGGGCTCGATCCCAGGACCCTGGGATCACGACCTGAGCCAAAGGCAGACACTTAACCATCTGAGCCACCCAGGCGCCCCTTAAATGTCACTTTCAATCCAGGAATAAAGATCAGAAAATCCTCCTCATACGAGACACATCCAGACCCACGCATTTCTCTATTGAGAAACATGTAAGATAAAGTTACCTGTTGACAGCCAGTTTCATTTACTGTTTATATTTTATACAATTTAGAAAAGAGCCATTTGTATGAATTTTGAGAAGCTGCTCTGGATAAGTAGCAGAAAAATGTGGCTTCGGCACCATTGTGTGGGACACAGGAATCATAGACCTTTAAAGAAGAGGATTATCCTTACACCTAAACATGGAGGGGCAGAACAGAGGGAGAGAAAAGAGTGACAATTATTTTTATTCTGCATGAGATACGAAAACAGGGACCTGGAAGAGGGCAGGAGGAATGGGAATGTAATGACTCAGTTATCCCAATGCCACTGTCCTATAGATTTATGTCATCCCTTAACTCTGGAGGGAAACGAGAGAAGAGAAAACGGAGAGACAGTGTTCTGAGAAACGGGTGGCCCACATAGGCGAAAACGTCGCAGAAGCAATCACCATTTTCTGCAGAACAGGTGGCTGCAGCGCCCCGGGTACACCTCCGTCTCCTGGGTTAATGTAATCAGTAGGCTGAGTAGATAATGGCTAGGTGGAGATGTTCCCATGGCAACCATTTCAGAGCAACACAATGTGATTTCCACACTCGCGCGGCAAAGGAAGTGACATACAAAGCAAACATTCCCAGCGACTGTGGAGCTTGAAGGACCGAGGCAGCTTCAGCTGGAAGTTTTAGGGCCGCACGTTTCGGCCGCCACGGAGAGCCTGGACCTCCACACCAGCCGCGGGGCTTTGCAGGCGGAGGAGGTTAATTGGCTCTTCG